ACAAACGACCGTAAACATTTAAATTAATATACGTCAAGCATACCGTATTTGCTCGTTTAAAATAGCCCGGGCGCTTATTTTTTTAAACATACTTACTAACCGGGCCCTTATTCAAACCGGCCCTTATTCAAGGGCGATTGTTATTTTTAAAGTAAAATTACACACAAAAATACCGGTAGATAAGATCGATCGTTACAATAATTAATACCGTATATTGTCATTTCCAGTTCTCAATTATGATTTAAACGAGAATAATGAAAATTTTGACTTTTTCTACGCAAAAAAAAGAAAACTTTTACACCGGGCGGGTATTCAAGCACCGGCCCTTATTTATTTTTATGTCCTGTTCACACCGGCGGCTATTCAAACGGGCCCTTAATCAAGACCGGGCGTTAAAACGAGCATTTACGGTAATTGAAATATTGAAATGAAATTTTGCCGGAGAAAATGACTGTGGATAAAAATATACGCAGGTGCAAATATGCACGGGTGCAATTGTCCATGAGTGCAGACCGGTAGTTCCGAATTTACGTACGGGGTGCAAATGTCCATGGATACAAATGTACACGGAAGCAAATATGGCAATAGACCGAGGCAAATTTCTGATACTGATGCCCCTTTCACGGCCTCTCGTCCGGTTACCATCCCGTGTCGGGTATGGGATTAGTTTAGTTATTTGTTTTCGGAAGCATGAACCTGATGGTGGAGGAAGTCGTACCGACCAGCGGTTACGTGAACCACCCTACGGCGGCGACGAGTCCAGCAATCTAGGCCGCGAGCCGAGGCCCTGAAAAACGCCTAGAAAGTGAGTTTCGTAGCGCACATCAGGTAACTACCTGAAAATGATTTTAAAATGTTCCTTAAAAATTTAGTAACAAATATTGCCTTGTTCCCACTTCCAAAAGTTGCACGTTTCACGGAAAAGACGCTTTTACGACAAGAAATATGTGCTACGATCTGTCCTATATTCTCTACTTTTTCGGCAATGAACAATGACTTCTGCATGACGTAACAATTGAATCGAATCAGCTGTTAGCGAGCGGATGAATATTAGCTATTACTGCTCGACCTTGCGTTGAGTTGGGCAGCCTTTCCATAGCCCTGTTTATTTATTATTAGTTAAGTTAAGCTAGGACGTTGTTGAAAAATGTATAAGTAAGTTATTAAACACTTGTAGATCATTACCACGGATATGGGCCGTGAGACGAAGCCTTGAAAACGCCCAGAAAATGAGTTTCGTAGCGCACATCTGGTAACTAAATAAATTCTTCAGTTTTGTGGGAAAATGAACATACTGAACGCATTACAGCTTGTTCCACAATCCTGATGCGAAAATGAATATAAGAGGTTCCCGGAAATTCAATAACCATAAGTTTACAACACATACATAAGAACTATGCAATTCGAGAGCCCTACAGCACACTAACACAACTATATTCCTGTAATGTTTTGCCTGACCAAAATCGGACTTTCTCAGTCAATCATAATTTATTAGGTAGATTACGATAAATATGGCATACATGTAACCAACAACAATAATACTTTAATTGTGTGACAGGAGTCGCGAGTGACCTCGAAAGCACCGACACCAACAACACTGATTCACATTAGCGAATAAATTTTATGTAATAACCAAAAGCAGTTTACAACAAGAACAGCATAAAAAGCTACATCCATTTTATAGAAGCTATCAAACGTATTTATTTTTAAGCAATGAAGTCACAAATTAACATCGTGAGCACGAAACACAAATAAGAGAAATTTACCGGAAAAGTCAAGAAAATTAAATGAATGTACAATATGTACATAACATAGTGAACAGAAATATTACAATTAGTCTTTTTTTAGTTTATGTGGTTATGTATTTGAACAGAGGCAATATTATTTCTAGAAACAGGACTACGACACTGACAAATGTCCTGAAAAACAAACAAATAAATGATACTTATAAAATCAACTGCAATATCTAATTCACTTCCTTCTGAATTGTTTTCGAAATCCACTATCTCGAAAATCGACTTTTCCTCTATAAGTGTACTGTGATTTTTGCAGTCAATACAAAAACAAAAATCTGTGCAATTTAAGTTGATTTTGGCACACTTGCATAAATTATTTTGACTATTTTTCTTACACTTGCAGTTTGCCAACTCAAGAACTGATTTGAGGGCCACATGCTTCTTCAGTGAATCATTGTTGGGTGGCAGAGTATAATCCTTATGTTTGCCGGTGTTAAATAGACGTCCCCTGGTATCATTTACATTCTTCATATCCTCTTCATACAGTGAACAAACAAATTCATCAGCTTTATTTATTAATGCCTCGTTAACCTCAAAAGATCTTCATAGTTGAGAAAAAAATGAATTGAAAACCTCAATGAAGTCTCCAACATGAGTTTGATGGGCAGTTCCAATTGCAGAAAAGTGCTAAAGTATTTCAATATGAATAGCCCATCTAAGCTGTTTGCAACTATTATAATTCTCATATACCTTTACGCTTCAAGACTTCTTGTTTAATCCATTTTATAGCACTGATAACAGCAGGGATTAGAGCCTGCGTTAGGTAGGATTGGTGGAACATTGCCGTTTTCTTTTGTAGTACAGTATCTAAAATGGGGGAGAAAATCATATTTGGAACAGCCACTAAATACTAACTAATACAATTTTATGCATTTTATCTGATGTACTCAATGAGCGTATATATGCTCATTGCATGTACTACAGTCCAGCAGTGTTTGCATACCATTACTTGACTATATCTACACTAAATTTTGATATATCACAGTCTGAAATGCCCTATGACAGTATGAGTATGGACTATAGACTATATTTTTAAAACATCAACTGTCTGTCTACAACTTGATTTCTCACCTCTCAATCGTTTCCAATGCTACTTTCTTTCCACTCCGGCATAACTTATCATTGCTTCCCAGGTTCTTGTCGACTCAAAGAATTTAGATTTAGACCAACCGACATTAGTAAAATTGATTATTTTCTTCTCTTTCACACAACCGTGCATTACAAAAACAGCCATTAATTTCTATTTCCAAATATGCTGTGGCCTATATAGTAGTATAAGTCTGCTGAGTAGTCAAGAAGAGCCATTAAATTAATCATAAACATTTCATGCAAGCCAGAAAATATCGTTGTTTGTGACATATCATTCTAGGTCTAGCCTTCCTTGGAGTTACCGCACCGTACCTATTTAACAACGTCTTATGAGCTAGTGCTCAACTAAAATTGCTATTTATGGTAAGGATATACAAGTGTTTAATATCTTACTTGTACTTTTCAACACCTCCTTAGAATACCTGAACTAATAATAACTGAAAAAAACCATGGAAAGGCTACTCAACGCAAAAGCGAGCAGTAGTTGTACATCTGATATTCATCCGACCACTGGGGATCCACCTACAGCTGACTAATTTGTTTGTTACGTCATGCAAAAGTCTGCGTTCATTGGCCCATGATACCGGAAAAGCAGAGAAAATAGGACAGATGGTAACACATATTTATTGTAGTAAAAGCGTCTTTTCTGTGAAACGTGCAACTTTTGGAAGTGGAAACAAGGCAATATTTGTTACTAAATCTCTAAGGAACATTTTAAAATCATTTTCAGGTAGTTACCTTATGTGCGCTACGAAACTGAAAGATAAATGGCCTCGGCTCGCGGCCTAATCCTCGAGCACATAACATAACTATCCCCGCATTTGGATTCGAACGTGCCAAACCAACCCACGCAGAGTAATCAGAGGTATGGTGGCGACACTGAACTTTATAAATGAGAATAAATAAATTAGCAAGGCAAGTAAGAGCGGAATGTTCGTGACATTTTTATTTAAATAATCAAACAGAGCAACGAACTCACTCCTATAATGAGATGCCCGGGACGACTATGGCCCATCTAAACACGCCCCTGATGCGCATAAGCATAGGTGCAAATGCCCACGGGCGCAACATTCATGGATACAAATGTCCGTGGTTGAAATATGTATCGGAGGGTGTTAAGAGTTGTGGGTAAAAGTGTCCATTGATGCAAGTGGCGTAGCAAGACTCTCGTGAGCCCATCCCCCGCAAAAATATTTTGTGGAAATGACCCTAAAAACTTTCGGACATAAGCTAAAACAACGCTTTTTTATTTCGTCAAAAAGCATAACATGTCGCTATTAAATAGCAATGGTAACCTAAAATTTGCCGTTTATCTTGGTTACTTTAATTTTTTCATACGTGCTTCCTCTTCTGCGTTGCTGTGCGCCACTGAGAGGTTTTGATCTCGACATCATTCTGACAGCCTTCCTAATTTTGCCCGTGCGATCAAACCACGAGACGCCAAAAATCGACGACTTCCTGGCATTGTTACGTAACAAAACGATTTGAGCAGAACTAACATCAACCCTACAAGATGTGCATTACTGGTTTTGCAATACAGCTTGTGGTTTTGCGGCTTAAATTTCTAAATTCCAACCGTTTGGGCCCGCCCGCGACCGCGGGGGTTGCGGGGGTGAATGCTACGCCACTCGTTGATGCGAAACACTCGCACGTGGGCACAAATATAATGGAACCGGGATAGATGGAGTGAATTTCTTATCATTGTAACGTTAACAACAACAACCATTCGCGAGGTGACAGCAATGAGTTTCCCGCGAGTGGCGAATAAATTTCCCTTAATGTTGGAAGGCCGTCGTTGTACCGCGACTTGCGAGAGTGAAGGCAATCTTTGACTGTCAGTTTGTGGTTCCTGTGGAGCAGAGCACATTTATGTTTCGGCTTGAGGTCGTAGGCTTGTTTAGATTTTAATATATATTGTCAATACAGGAATGAATTGGTGTATTATAATATTCAATAATACGTCTGTACATGCAGCACTCAACTCGCTCCAGTCCAGACTGCTGGACTGTGACTTTATAGTCTACTTATTTAATTAAAGTGGTTTGAGAATCAGGTTGTACTGTACGGTATGTGGTAGATAGTGTGGTTGGGCACGAGTGGTTCATCTTCAATCAATACCTACTCAATACCGGTACATTCCTAAATTAAAACCAACCTTAATTTTGCTTTCTATAGTTCGAATGGCCAATGATTGCCAACTGGACAACTATTTTCTGAATTTCACATATGGTCTACTAACAATACTTCCTACAGTCCTACACAATACCTTAGTGTTATCACCAGGCAACCATGGCATGAAGTTAATGTGTATAGCAAATGCTTTGACAGTTTGATATTGTGCCAGGGTTTCTGATATCAGGTTATATTTTTATTTGACCAATGCTTGCTATCGCATCATCAGTTAAAGCTCCTCCCTGAGAAAAATAGGAAAATTTTTATTCTATATATAATCAGCATAGATTATTTGCCTGATTTAAAACAGTAATAAGGTGAATATTATTGAATTACATTTTGCAATTGCAGAAGTTATAGGCTATAGAATATTGTCAACATAAAATTATAGAATAATGGTTCGTACCAAAGCTTGTTCTGGTACTGGGCGAGTCACAGCCGAAAAAGCTCCTAGAAAAAATTTCGCTGCTGCCTCAAGTCGTATTGACTTGGGATCACCATCTTCAAAAAAAGATAAATATGCTGGAGGTAATCCAGTTTGCCCAAGGCCTACTCCAAACTGGCAGAAGCCTATTGATCGATTTTTCATAATGAACACAACACCTAATATTGTCAATAGTTCAGATAAAACAGATGCAATCGTTGAAAAAGAAAATATTAACCCGGGGTCATCAACTAAAGATAATAACTCGCCTACTAAACGGAAATTACAAACTGAAGAAGAAAGTGCCCCCGGGCCTTCCGGATCAAAAAAAGCCGCTAATGGTGCTGTTGTGACGATGTCTGATGAAATATCTGAGGACTGAAAACATTATTTGAAGGAGTTGACTGGTTATTGACCAGACTTGCATGTGAGATACTGAGGAGGGGAGTAAAATACATCAGAAATATCGGTAGAAAACGAGCGCAGCTCCTCATGTTTATATTTTTGTTCAATGTTTCCATTATAATTGATGCTATTAATACCTTTCACTGCTTTTGTTTTCTACTGCCAAGTTTTTTTTCCATATATCTTTAGGGCATAAATAATAAAGTTTCATACACAATAGCAGTTCTGAATATAGCTTCATGAACAAGATCCAATGCAAATTCTTTCAAATAAATGTTTAGGGAATATTGTGCGAATGCTACCCACAGTCATGCATGTACTCTACTATAACGTTCTCTACTCAAACTGCCCCACGTAGAATGATAACTTGATAATTCATTCTGCACAAAGTGGGTTGCTTGATGCTCAATCATTTCTACGAGCCAAAATCCCCATCGACTGCTACGGCTCCACGGTCCAACTTCTTAGTAAAAAGTCTAGTGAAGTGGACATAGAACCATCCTAGAAAGAACCTATTAGGTAATCTCGAAGTATGTGAACCAAGAGGGCGGACACCGGAATGTAGTATGTGTACCAGGTACTAACTTTAGTTCTATTACAAGTTCGAGAACTAGCCAAGTGACTCCTGTAGTATTTGTACCTAAAATTATGGCCTAATCCTAACCAGGTACACTACTACGTTCTGGTGTTCGTATTCCTGGTTCACATACTTCGGGAGTACCTCCTATTATTGGGAGCTTGCATTACTGAGGCAACGATATAACATGGCACCCTGTCAGGAGACCTAGAAACTTGTGATATAAAGGTATTATAATTAGTGGATTTGCCTTATGTGGGTTACACAGCTTTTCACAACCTCATGATTAAATCCAATTCCAACCACCTTACCCAGGAGTATAATAAATTCTGGTCATTCCAAAAATAGCTATTTTCCTGTAAATGGGTGCTTGTACAGGACCTTGTTCTGTGTATGAAAAAGTATGGTATGCTTTGTGTTTCTCATTTCACAAAAACAGTCAGATTATTCAGATTCTTAGCTACCGCAAAGTATGTGCAGCTCCAATAATAGGAGTACAACATAGTAGTAAGAGAGAAATTAATGAAGGCTTGTTTGGGAAATTCTATCAAAATTACTTCCCAGGTCTGCTACAAGGTTAGGTTGGTTACAAATGGTGATGGAATTCAAAATTCTAAGAATGGGTTCTCTTTTGGATTAAACTTACTAACAACAGGTTCTCTCATTCAGAAAATAAATAGATTCGCGCAAACCCCCGGATCCCATCACTTGTTACAATCAAATCCTTCGACATCTTCCATGGTTGAAATCTATTAATATTTGGCAGTGATATTAAAATGGTACAGAAGCACACTACAGTGCATACATGATGAAGCACTGAAGCGAAAGTCTCAAAAAATCACCTCAAATGGAAGATTTGAAAAAAAAATTAAAACACGTTAATGTTCTCATGAAATCATTCACTCTCCTTTTTTGACTTTTTCTTCTTCTTTTTCGGTTTGCCTTCCACCTGTGGAGACTGTACTTCAGTCTTGATCTTTTTTGGTGACGACTCCTGTACTTCGGTCTTGACTTTCTTATCTTTTTTAGATTTCTTTTTAACAACTTCCGTTCCATTGGATGTGTTAAGATCATCATCAGACTCCTGTGTTTCAAGTTTGATCTTTTTCTCTTTTTTAGTTTTCTTTTTAACAGGTTCAGCAGTTGGAGTACAGGGCGCAGTCAGTTTACCATCGGACACAATCAAGGCTTCTTCATGTTTTCTTTTCTTAGGGCCTGGCAGAGTTGAATCCCTGGCGTCATCATACATTTTAACCTCGCTTTTATTTGTCCATTTATCAGCCTGGGCTTTGGCTTTTCCAGTTCCGCTAATTTTAAAAGATGTTCCTTCTTCCAATGCCTTCAATCTCATTTCTAATAGAGCACGATTTTCCACTCCCAACTGAGTTGAGGACTCTTCTCCAAGAGCGTCATAACGAATAGCAAGGGCTGTTTTTGCAGCAAGCATTCTTGAGATTTTACCCTTGTGTTTAGGATTGGATTGTCCAACAAGTGAAGCATGATAAATCAATCCATATTTAGGCGTTTCTTTTCTGGTTTTTAAAGCACGAAAAAGTGCTTTTTCAGCTCCAAGAATTTGCACTGTTGAAGCTGGATGTTTAGCAAGGTTAAGAAGAGAACCAGCGTGTGCAATCAACCTTGCACCTACAAGTTCACCAACAAGTATTGTGACATTTGGTGCAATTGCTGTCATACGATTTTTCAAATAGTCATAGAGCTGTGCTCTATAATCAGTTATTTCGATGATTTGCTCACATAAGTAAGTAATCCTGCTGATATCTTCTTCAGATATTTCAGTACCCATTGATACTTCTGCCAATTCTTTCACTTGCTCTTCTATTTCTTCTGGAAGAATATCTGACAAATCACAATTTATTGCTTCTGTTCGGATTCCCATTTTCTTTACGGTCTTTGCAAAAGCAAGATTGTCTGTAACAACTTTACCAAGTTCTGGAAAATGCCAACCATACCATTCCCTACATCTCATTATATAATTATTCAATTCTTTATCCAGGTCATCAAGTAACGATATAGCTTGGACGATCATTGTGTCAACTTTGTCAGGGCTAAATTTCAATTTGTATCGAGAAAGACTATGAGCGAGTCCAAGTGCCATAGCTGTCACATCGCTCTCAGGCAGCCCAGTTATAAGACTGGTCATGTGAGCACGTATTCCTCTCATTAACTCATGTATAGCTGGACTATACAAGCACATTAAATCCATCTTGTCTTGGATTGCATTTCCAAGTTTTGCATCAGCAACCGCAAGTTTTTCATGTGCTTCATTTGCAACTATTTTCTTGAGCAATTTTTTTAAAGGCTTGCATAACTTTCCTTCCACGGCTGCGGTTGTTGCTGAAAGAGCTTCAGTCATATCTTCAAATTTTTTGAAATGTTTCAATTTGACCATTTTGGATGCACTTTCTGCTGTGCTGAAAAGCGATTGCAAGTCTCCGGCCTCTCTGACTTTTGATTCATCAAGAACCTTGAATACGGCATAGCCAGCTGGTGATTCGAATAGCACCAACATTTTGCTACTGTGTTATCTTATACCATTACTGGAAAATGTAACAAATTGATTTGATTCATGTATAATAATACAAACATAAATCTGACAATGTAATCATGGGCAGAATGGCCTTCAGCAGATATTGAATAAATAATAATATTACATGTTATGCTGCAACTTGAGTTGGATATAATTTCAAAGGATTGTGTTTAAATTTTTCTTCTTTTTAGCTTTTATACTTATGAAACGGTGAGAGACAAATTAAATAACATAGAACAGAGTTACTCATAAATTGAACTTGGCTACCTTAAAATTAAAAGCATGTGACAGTGTGATGTGAAGCTTATAAAATGGAACTCTAACAGTCCAAAATAGTTTAGATAGTCTACTTACTAATCTTAAGACTATGTCCCATTATTTCAAAATTCCATGGTATGGTCTATAAAGATTCAGTATAATAAATTAAATTAATTAAAGAAATTCATTATTCTTCATTAATAAAAGAAAATCTATTTCATTTTCCTCTGATAGCCTAATAGGAATTTTGGAGTTTCCTCAAGTTCCTGGTATTAGCTGGTTAATGAAATCCATCAACTATTTCTAAGACCCATCACAAAATATATATAACCATCGCCACGATGTACTATAATGGAGGTCATACGGCAACTCCATGTGTATAACGTCAATAACAAATTAAGCCGATCTCACATTGCGTTAACCAGCGCCGAACGTCGCTGTTGGAGAACTGGAATATACTTTAGGGCCGTCATCGACTCGCTCGACACACACGTGCTAGTTACTTGTTACGCATCAGTAAATGTTAAATTTACGTTTCGTTTGACCGCTTGACCAAAGTGAATCTACGCCACGGTGATCGCTTTGGTTTCGCCATGGCTCGTGGATACTGGATAGTTTTCTATTTTATGCCATTCGATTTTTATTGGACACAAAGTACGCAAAAAGTTCAGGAATCCTGGACATTTTGCATAAAATTAATGTTCTATCTAGAAAATGTTCGAAATCACCCCGTAGGCATATGGGAGACAGACGTGTATCCAGCAAGACAGGGCGCCCTCCGCATATCAAATCACGCCCTTGACTGGATAAGTAAACAATTTCAGAAAAGGTGGAGATGTCAGATTTTTATCTGTGGCGGTATTGGAAGGACGATGTGTATCAGAACATTCCCCATCATTTCAATATCATATTTATCTCTCAGTAATGTCGTACAATTACGTTTTCTGTGTTTACGAGAAAATCACACAGTTGTTGGTCGACAACACTTTTCATTAAAATGCTAGCAAACTGTCGTGTTCTTCAGATAATGTTGAACTTGCGACAATGATGCTGGTGTTGCTGTATGCTCTGAGAGATAGGAGTAGAATTCAGGAATTCCAACAGCATCATACTGTGTCTTTACAATAGAGTCAGATTGCATTCTGAAATTTCCATTTGGAGATACTATACGACCGATCAGAAACACTACTTCTCAAACGCCACATATGATAAAACTTTGTTGGAACAGTGCAATGCAATAGAGAGGATTTCAATACGAATATTAGTATGTTGTAGATGTATATTACAATAAATTGAGCAATAAACAAACTGCAAATTTGTCCTATTCAAACATTGTACCATTTCGAATTTAACATTATCAAATTAATGAAGGATGAATAAATGAAGGATGTTGTAGATCAGGGGTGTGCAAAATGCGGCCCGCGGGCCAAATGCGGCCGGCAAGGGAAAATTGTGCGGCCGCACTTTGAAAAATTTTAATATTGAAAGATAAAATAGCTAAATGAGTTTTGGTTCCAGCCTATCAGTTGATGTTGTCTAAATCAAACCTAGAATAAGATTTGACAGCAAATTATTTGGAAATGAAACTTGGCGCATTTTACTGAAAGCTTCTCAATCAAGTTACTTCCCACATTTGAAAAAGTCATGGCTTCAAATATGGCACTTTTCGGTAATATATTTTTGTTCTAAAATGGGCGTCGCATCGAATTGCTAGCACTTCCATTTAAGCAAATTTGGATAAAAGTAGTCGGGAAAAGAATCCAGCAGCAAATTTCTCACTGAATTCGTTTAAATTGGGTGCAACAATATATATCTTTAAATTACAGTTCTAAGAACTTAATGCATTTTACCTCATCATTTCTGTAAAGACCATGAGATCAATAACAAAAAGACACCATTTTGTGCCTGCAACTAATAGAAAGCCTGTGTGAAATGTGGGTGCGGCCCGCGGTTTAACCCGGTTATTGATATTTGGCCCGCCTGCGAAAAAGGTTGCACACCCCTGTTGTAGATTATATAATGTAATGTTATGTATTATACAATTTGAATTGTTGTAAATGCATGCAAAGAAATGATCTGTTATAAAACGATATGTTGGTGCCATTTTTTAAACTTTGGTGTGGATAATAAAAAAATTATTCGGACACACGTAGATTTTATTCAATTTACCCAGATACCTCAAGACTCAGCATGCTTCTAAACACGATAACGCATGGAAGCAAGGAGTCATTTGATTACATGACCTCTTTACTTTGTTGACAGCGGAAATATTGGTGTAAATTAATAATTACCTCTGTTTTTATGATCCAATAAATTGTGATACCTTTATCGACATACGACAACAATCTTAAACAACATTAAATTATGCAATTCATTTTCTTTATTTATTACATAGCGTACATAGCAGTACAGGCACAATTCACAATGTTTTCTGGTTAAACCTTTTTGAACTATAACACAACTAGGAATATAATCTTGAATATTAATAATAACTGAATTAGGGATTAATGATCATGACTCCAGTCTCTGTTTGAACATGTAGAAGCATGGAAGTTGACGGAAATTCCGAGTTGATGAAGAACATTAAGGTATGCAGCAATTTGTGACAAAGTTGGATTTGGGCTTGGAAAAAATCCCCAAATCATTTGGTGTTCTGTAAAACGAAACAGGCAAACTTAACAAAATAAACATCATTCATGGTAAAATAATTCTATTATTCATACCTTTGTCAGATATTCCACCCGGTGGACAAACAAAACTCGCGATGTAATTTTTATAGTCGGTCATATGTACGTCATGTCCACCGCCAAGGAAATTATCTATAAAACACAAACGAGAATACCGGTCAGAGACCGAAGACTTATCGATCGAAAGTTAGGAGATCCCCCAAAACAGCGCTCTTACTCCATAGTGACACCTTGTGTCCCATCACTAATTAATTAATAACTTGCTAATTATACGACATAATTCGCCCAAAATCAATAGGCTACTGGTACGAAATATGATGAATGCACATGCAAAATCTGCAGCATATCCAATCTCACTTTCGTGAGATATCGCGTGCATCTAACAGACAAACAGACAGACAGATAAACAGACAAATACCTATCAACATACTTACCGATTAAAATCGATAAGTAATAAAGTAAAAGTTGAGGAATGCAAATATGTCGTAAATATTTTGTAATTTTTTGAAGATAATTCATCATATATTCACCCATATCCGAAACTCTTTCGTTATGAAGTCCCATTCATTTCTCTCATGTGCTCATCATGATTATCTTCTACGGTGATTAAATTTGTGATATATATATTAGGTGATGTAATATAAAGGTAACAAACGACTTCAATCTCAAACAATACAGTGGTATAATACGATTTAAATGTTTATCAACATATAAAACTGATAAACGTTGATATGAGACACCTAAATTATCATAATAACGTTTAAAATTACAAATTGAAGCAACATATTTTGTGTTTAGCGCATTCGACCGTTATTATTAGGCATTTCTTCAACTAGTACCTCGGACAAGAATTTGCTTGGCAATTGCTAGGAAATCTGAAATCGCTAGTCCTATCGACATTTGAATGTGGGTGTCCGCGTGTGCCATTTTGAGACTGGTCTATAGCAGTGAAAATGTGTATAAAGGAAATCTGTGCGATAACCCATACCTTTGTCTGATTTGCTCAAATCGTAATATCCCTCTTCGTGCCAATTGAAATGCAATTCAAATTTAAGGTATCTAACATAAATACAATGCATTAGGAAAGGTCTTTTATGGCACGCCTTAACATTTGATTTTGAATGGCCAAAATATGATATATATCATGTATATATTATGTGGTGTAATGTAGTAGCTACATTATAACACCATTTTCTTCATCCCTCCACCTCAACCCATCTTCATGTTGTGGTTCATGGTTTACGAAAATCTAACTTTGTTGCACATTTTTATAAGCAAACCCAGGAGTTTGATTTATTTTGATTACAACAACCAGATAACAACAAAATCTAAATTACATTCTGGAACGCTTTGCGAAAAGCTAATTTGATATTTGAATTGATTTTGATTTTAAATATATATGTATGTTAAATGCATCTATTTGTAAATCCGCCTTGTCACAGTGTGGCAAGCAATATATTTATCTGATGAATCTTCATGGTATTTATTTTGCCCAGATTAGATACAAAATTTTAAAAATATATAATATTTCAAATTTCAACCTGATACGTGTTCTTTCACGACGACTCGATAGCCAGATTCTGTAGACGTAAAATTACTTAATCTGATACAAGAGAGCATAGACGCTGTGATATCATTTGACTGTAGTCCGGAATACCACGAAGTTTTTGATAACTGTAAAATCCAAAAATCAACGGAAATGTTATATTAATAGAGAATCATAAAATTAAACATATATATATTATATATATATGTATTATTGTAAAATGCAAAAATGACATAGAAAATTGAAACTCTTTATTGGGTCTGATAAAATTTCATTCCAATTAAACAAAGTCGAGTTTGTCTAAATTAAAAATAAATTTAAATACAAAATATCTATCTGTCCGGGTGGAATGCATATGTTGGACTCTTAATTTACCTTTTCAAAATCAAGCTTACTGCTTGCTTCAGGTAGGCGGCATCTGTGCAATTTGGGTGTCGTTGATATCAATGTACATGAGGACGATAGGACAAGTAAAGCAACAATCAAAATCATAGTGATTAACGCTGTAGACAGAAAAAAACTTATTTCCTGCAATTAACATATATATATATTAGGGGGACATTTTTGTCTTTTTTACAGCGTGTAACTGTAAGCTGATCTTGCCTTTATTTGCCACAGAATTGAAAGTACCGTATCCGCAAGTAATGCAGTCCGCTTCGCTATCAGTTCGATCTTTTTTAAGGCATCGATACTTTTTTTAGTTATTGGGTAAAAAAGAGTTTTCACTGGGCCTACTGCTCAAATAGAGACTTCACACTAAATTGCGAAATACAAGATGAGATGACGTACTGTACTGTACTGAATTCATGATGTAACAGACATGTACAGTAAAATAATATCTGCCGAAGCTACACTCGACTAAGTTATTTTACGAGTTGTTTATTAAGTCGACGCTGCGTTTCGTCACTACTGTTACATGGCCGACGCTTAAAAACAGAGGAGTGTTCTTACTAAAATAAGGGAACAAAGCGTTAGACAAAGGGTTTGAATCTCAGGATCTCAAACCTCTGTTGGAATAGCTAACAAAAAAACTCAAAAACGTTCCTTCATTAGATACAAATATACGCTAAAATTGTTCGGTGAGCCGCGCGGAATGTATCAGCATGGCAGGGTTTGGACCACCCTGGTCTACCTTATCAAAAAACTCCCGATTTCGCTTACCACTAGATCGTTGAAATGCGATCGTGGAACCGCCACATAGTGTAAATAGTTCATTGGTCCAATTGTTGAAAAGACAAGATTTTTTTTTTTATATAAAAATGCAGCAACAAGGAGAATACTAGAACGAAAAAACAACAACAATTTAAGAAAACGACTCATAGGCCCATTTCGTGTCCAAAAAAAGTTCAGTGTTTATTTTTAATAAGAAGGTTAATCTGGTGAACTCGTAATATTTTTATAAACACCGATAAACTATATATTATTCTGCTCTAAAATTTCTGTGGTGCCCCTCTTTGCTTGGTGCCCTAAGCACGTGCTTATATTGTTTAATGGTTAATTCTGCGCTGGTGACCATACGTCCTCCTTTTGAAGGATTAGTCTTCTTTTTTCGTTGAAAATTTTACGTCCTCCGAGGACGCTCTAAAATGCCAAAATGTCCTCCTTATTCACGGGATTGAATTTTTAAAATTCTCCTATGATATTATCAACAGTTTTTGATGTGTTTAGAAAATTTTAAAATAAGTAGAAACTTGTGATTATCATTACACATATGACGCAATGCAACGAGATACCTTAAGGTCAGTGTTTTATACCCTGAGTTCGGTGGAGCTGTTCCAGGGGTTCGCCGAAAGTCCTGTAGAACAGTTATATATATATAATAAAATCTTTCTAGTACCCTGCCTACTAATTAGGAAAAATTATCACGATAGTTCACCGAAGATATACAATCTTACACGTTTAACGTCGCGCACCCCAGTTTTTTTTAGCTAGTCCCGAAATACCAACTTAGACGGACTTGGTTGGTATTTGACGATGACACTGAGCATGCTCACGCTGCAAGTTTTTAAATTACTCAATATAACAATTCGTTATAAAATGAGTGTCGCAAGAAAAGGTGACATAAGTAAAACACGACGGAAACGTATTTCCTTGCCCATTACACAGTGTCTGGTTTAGAGCGAAATTAAACGCGAGATGCGCAAAATACAACGGTAATTTTCGGGAATTAACTTCAAAATACCTGAAGGCTTTATATATCTTCTTTGAAAGAACGCCAACCATGCAACAATAATATATAATAATAGTCTGATTAGAACGGTAAACTCACGTTGTTTATTCAATTTAAAGTAAACACGCGATATTTCGATCACTTTTAAGTTTTCTCCGACTTGCGGCCCGCGAGACCACCTCAAAAGTTTTTGCGGTTCTTCAATCTAGCAACCTGGAACCACCCTGAGGTAAACTACTAGGTACTGGAAAATTTCATTGTGACTGACTTGTATTCTTTGGTATTTCGACTCATGTTGAGACTGGAGGCATGAATCTTTATTGTCACACTCCCTCAGGATTAGAGCTCAATCGATATATCGGGCCGATATACCATATCGGCAGTAAACGGCCGATATATATATATCGGCTATATATAACAATTTGTTTGTAAAAGTTGTTTTATTCACTGTTGGGTGTAATTATTTATAATGGATAATACACTTATGTGGTTTATTGTTTATATAATTAAATTACACATGAGGGGACACCAAAGTCTTCAGTGCTTAGGGCACCAAAGGGGCTTAATCCGCCTCAGATTGTCACCCTATATATACATGAATGCGTTACCATCAGATCAGTGTGGAATTTCAGGATCAATGGAATTCAGCCGGTTCCGTCTCACGGAATTTTATGAGATCAGCGAACCGGTTAGCATTACTGGTCACTGTTAATGACTTTTTGTAACAGAACCGGGTGAAAAATATGACTTCTGTGATGGAACCGGCTGACAAAAAATTGAATCCCACCACTGCATCAGATGTATTCATCTTACGCTTTACAACACTGTTTCCTGGTCTGCATAGATCATACTTTTTTCAAGGAGCTAGGAGAAGTTATTCAATGAAATTACATTTGACTACTTTAAGGGAACTGAACATAATTCTACATCATGATATATTGCATTGTTAATATGTCGAAAAGATGACTAGTTTAGCTGCATACAAGACAACTGCTATAGGTTACTTCGGCCTGTTCTTATTTGCCATCCCTGTGATGTTTTCATTCCATATTCCCAGAGAACTGTTTATGATTTGAGGAACGTATTTGTGACGTCTTGTATTGATCTTTCAACCTTTGTTTACTTTAAGGTATATATCTAAAATATGGCCCCATCGGTATAACTTCTATTGGCAGATACATTAGTGAGAATTTGACAATACATTTGGGAACTTTAGTTTTGTTGGTGGGCCCTATATTTAGTATGAAAACTCAAGATCACGGAAACCGTGGTAATCTCATTTTCCCGTTTACGCGCTTGTCAAAGCAAAACAAGTAAAACGTATAGGACATGCGTAAAAAATCAATGGGCAAAGTCACTTTGTGCCGGTATATTGGAGTGACAGTTCTATCTAAAACAATCCGTTAAAATGAAAATCTGCTTCGGTTGTTTTTTAAATAGACCAGTGACAAAATATGGCCCACAAATCCGTTGGTTTCAGTTATATAAGGTCGTTCGTACGATTGAATATACATAAATATATATATTTGGATAACGAGAGGATAATATTTTCCTCGTAAAGTATCAAACACACATGACGCGAGAGTGTAAAAATATCTCATCATTATTCCACATTTGCTAATATTTTTTAATGGAAGTTCGTGACGATTATTGTAATACCTGTAGTCTGCAATACATTATTATTTTTAACTGTTAAAATCGTATCAAAATATCCTGGTTTTCGCTTCAAATAATGGAAATTGTTCAACTTGCACTTTGTTTCTGACATTTCGATGATTCAACGACAGTACAGTTGGGGGTTAAATTAACGCATGGTTCATACTTCATATCATAACTATGGCATAACAATTTCTCTCTTTCTCTAAACTAGTGAAGTGAGACGAAAATCGGCTGCCTCCGTTAAAAAAAAATTATTTGTAATAGTATCAAATAGAAAAATTATTTAGAATTGTCATACTGCAAATCCGAGACGCTTAAGTCTATCGCCGGGACAGTGGAAAAACATGCTAAAACGGGCACTGTCCTGGCTAAACCGGGACGTATGGTAAGCCTATGTATGCTGCTCCCATAATGCTATTTTCTCTCTGCATGTGGCGTTCAGAATTTTTGAGGTGTGATTTTTATTTTTTAACAGAGAAAAAAATAGGACTAACGCGTACCTGAAATTTATTCGAGCAGTTCTATTTTGACTAGAGTTTTCAGATAACTAAATTCAGTTTCAAGAATTGGACTGTGGGCATCCAAGAGGCGACTGGCATGTTTGATTCATAGTAAATTGATTGCAACTCTGAAGTAGTTATAAAATGTGAGGCATTCTAAATGAAATTTATGGCACATATGTGGACTAAAACAAAATAACGATAAAAAATAAATTTAAGAACGAAATGGATTAAAAAAATTAAAAAACTATAGAAAACTTAATTAGTAAGATAAAATTATTCATAGTGTCTGCAGTTTATACATTCTGTTCCCTTTATTCAAAAGGTATCCTTGTGTATTCAACGACTCAATCAAGTCAGAAAATTTTGTGCTATCTAAATTCAAGTTCTTTGCAATTCCCCACATTTCATCCATTGACATAATATTGCCCGATTTACGTCTCGCAGCCTGAAAAATATAATTGATGAAAATTCAATGTATTGTATATCCTCCCCATATCACCAATAACTGAAAAAAGTATTCAAAAACAGACCTGATGTAAAGCAGATACAAGTTTTTTTGCTGCACCTCTCCCACTTACACCCGATCCATTCAAGGATCTTGTAAAAACAAGTGAATCAAATTCATCAGAAAAAGTATCATACAAGCTGTGTTTCATTATCTCCACTACATCCATTGCATCTTGAGCTGAAACTACGTTTCTGAAAATGAGACAGACAGTATTAATGAAGGTATCAATCTTAAAATATAAGATCTAAACAATAAATCAATACTTAGGTATATAAAAGCATCAGCACCAGTGGGTATGGTAAGAACTCAGAGGAGCTAGTTTGCTTAAAAGATAGGCATACAAGCATGACAGAATAAAAGTGTTGCTTCTCTTTAATGAAAAAATTGTGAGTGAAACGTCGGATCCCAAAGAAAATTTAAAAATAAAATAATCGCCTTCTATTGTCTTCAATCATCTTATAGTTAGAATTTGAAATAAATTGATATGTCAGTTACAGATAAGTGACTTTTTTCCTACCATACAAGGAATTCGCAAAACGATGCATATGTTCACATCATGACCAAAAAACATGGTTTCAGTGGACTAAATTTCACTTCGAAGATATACTATGAACAACTATATTGAATTTTTATATTTGTCAATTGTTTTGCAATAATGCAGCCTATCCATGAATCCACTTACCTCATCTCTACTTTGGCTTTTGCTTCTGATAATCTTTTTAAAGATTCGAGTTGCCTCGTGGTAATTGGTGTGCTGTCACCTTCATATCCTTGGCGTCTTAGTTCGAGATAGAAATCTTTTAGAACCTGTATGTTTAATTAAATTTTGAAACACCTCATATTTAAGAAAATATGTTTGATTTAAGCAATGTCGTGGTATACCTGACAAGCTTCTGGACTTAGAGTGATGTCATGAATATTTTTTCGAGTGTACGCAATGTATTTCCAAGCTAATGCATGAGGCAAAGGATCACAATCCTTGCTTCTTGCATATGTCGATAACCTTTTCTCCAAAGAAGACTGTAAAAAAGTTTAAACATAATTATAATATTAAATTTCCTTGACAAAGACATAGTTAACATGTGTAGGTATTTAGAAGAGAATTGATCAACTTAGAATCATCACATATTTCATTACTTTGCAAGGTTTAGTTGAAGTCAGATCAAGTGTAGTTTCAGACTTTTCATCATACATTGCTGTTGTACCAGTGTGCATTGCCATTACGTGATCAGACAGCATTCTAAATAAAATATATGTATTTTATATACGAATATTTCAAACTAAATGCTAGTTAACTACAGTACATAGTATCATATTTTGTGTTTTTTGCAACACACAGGTACAAAAAGAAAATGTTTGTAGAGAAATAATGAAGCAAGGATGGTTTTGAATCCCATAATACACAATAGATCGTATTGGGGCATGTTATATCAAAAAGTTATCCCTGACTCCAGCACAAAAGTTTGTATGTACAATGTACATTCCCTCCTCATATCATGCACTTTTCATTTAACCTCGGACAGCCTTGCACAGGTTCCAAATTTGGGGGGAATAATTAAGTGTAAGAGAATTACTTGACTTCCCACTGCTGTAGGCAGTTCATGGAATTGCTGTTCGGCCATACTTCCTCTACTGTCAAGTCCATGAATCTGAAACTGCTTCACTTATTTCATTTCTGATGGACATGAGGTCGTGTTTTGCTATATGATTATCTGGTCGTTTAAAATAAATTGAACACTCTGGTTAATGAGTGAGGACAACGATTATGCGTTGATCCCTAATAAGACTAACCTAATTCCTTTCAAACTGTTTTCAAAAAAGATGGTCAAAAATAATATGGAATAGGAATCAAATAATGAAAAAAGCTGTTTTCTGCGGTGATTCAACTAACTTGTCTTTTGCTTCATCTGGTGTGTCGAGCAGAATGAAAACCAAGTCAAATCTTGATAGCAAAGCACTTCCCATGTGTAAATTTTCAGATACAGTTTTTGCTTTGTTATAATGTCCTCCAACTGGATTAGCAGCTGCCAATATCGAACATCTAATCAAGAACGAATATGATTACGAATTGTATTAGGTATAGTATAATTTCTAAACCTCAACAAATTAGGAATGTCTCAGCTGAACCTGAAAACATGATCAAATATAACTATGATCATGTTTCTATACTGAACACATTCTTAATTCGTATTTTTGTATATCACCTTTATTTTAAATTACTGGTAGACATTGTTCAACAGAGAACATGTTCATACCATTGTATGTTTATAGAAATTAAATTCATTAAAATAATTTTGAATATCTTTATTACAAAATTCAAAGGTAAGCATTGTTTTGAAAAGTTTACTGTTTTTTATAGTTATCACAAGTTAAATGAGATATAAAAAAGTTGAAATATTTTTCCAAAAACATGAATATAAAATTAAGACTGTATTCATAAATTCAGTTTGGTATAACAATTCCTGAATATACAGTACCATGAGCTTACAGGACTATTAGGTTATTCTCAAATTCAATAATGCCCACCTTGCAGGCAAGCTGCAAACAACACCAGCCTTGGCAATACTAATACACTGTTGTTCCATTGCTTCCAATAGTGCTTGTTGTTGACCATGCATTTTATCAAATTCATCTATGCAGCAGACTCCCTGGTCAGCAAGAACTAAAGCTCCAGCTTCAAGGGCAGTGTCACCTGCAGTATCCCTATGAGAACATTCAAAAGATGAGAAAGAGCATGTTAATTCGGATATAAGCTTTAAAATTACCAATTGTACAGAAATATCCAGAACCTTGCAATGATAAAAGACAGTGGACAGCTCCAGCTCCAATGAAAGCATGATAAACCCCCGCAGTAGACAAAAACACACTCGAATAAGTGCCGATACGTATAAAGGGTTTCTCACACTCACACCTATTTCAAACAGATTACTCAGAATTAACCCCATACCCACAAAGAGTAATAAGAATTAAAACAGCCTACTGAACGCATTACACCCAAGGTGAGGTGATGGGTATAGGACAGTGGTTCCAAACCAGCAGTTGGGAGGGGACCACAATGCTAGGCACTGGACTGACAAGACCATAAAACAGTAGCAATTTAATATTGCAACATTGAACAAGTAAGCAATGCTCAAATATATGGACACAAAGTAACTTACTGTACCTAGTCTACAGTGTGTTACCGGAATCGAAAACTCCCGACTTTCATGTAGCATGAGTTCACAAAATAAAAATGAGGGACAGCTGTCTATAAAAACAGCGATCCCATGAATAAAAAATGAACAGCGAAATTTTAGGTGAAATATCCAATCTCCCAGGATTAATAGGAAATTAAGGAACAAATAGAAGTAAAAGCCTTCTATCAACAACAATACTCTTCATTCACTTAAAATTTCAAAGCAATTGGTCCAGTAGTTAAAATGAAAAGCAAAAAATACTAACAAGGAATTAGGAGGGAAAATATTCATATCAGAACAACAACAATATAATTACAAAATGATCCATGGTACACTTTGTGTCCAACAAATGCATATTGTAGTTACTTTTCCACAGATGGAAAATTTTTTTGCATTTACTTACCTAGACAAAGTAACAGTCAGGCCACTGCTTGTAGATGTGTTGCCACAAACATACACACCTCGTGGTGCCAGCCTACTTGCAGCACGTAACAACTGACTTTTTCCCAAACCAGGATCACCAACAATTAAGATATGTGAATCGGCGCGAACAGGAATTCTATCATCTTGTTTTCGACTACCAATCTGAGCTCCACCAAATAATGATAATACGATACCTGCCTGTAAAGATACAATAACCTTCACATTAAAAATATATAGAAATATCTTCAGCAACAATGTACGGTGTCATGATCAACATGTAGTAAGGTAAGTTACAACCTTGAAAACAGATTTTTTCATCTAATTACTCTATTATCCATAAAGCAGCCATCAGACATAGTGTAGCTTAGAAACTTGAAGACCACCTGTAATAACCATGCAACTGTTGAAAATATAATCCAATAATTATGACAAAACATACCTTGACCATCTCCAGCCCATAGATAGTTGGACAAACTGATGCTACAAGAAGGGAAAATATATCATCTTGTTTCTTAATTTCTTCGATACCTTTCATGTCCAGTTCGCTAAACTCCAATGGTGTTTCAGCATTTAGACCTCGACAATCTAATGTTAAATAATATCATCCCAGATTAAATATATGTGGTTTGATCAATAGAACGGGTCTTAGTCGAGAATTTTATTTTAGCTGCCAGGTGCAGGGTCAGATTCCTGTTCGGCCTGAACTAGTTAACATCGATTGAAAGCAATTAAAATATTGCAGAGGGAGTTCTAACTCAACTGTAACAGATACATGATGCTATAATACTAGCTTAAAGTAGATCATGCTACGATGTGGTAGACCCTCTTGCTGTAGTTTAATAGTTAAAAAAAAGTTTGAAACACAATCTGACTATCAAAATGCAGAAACATTCATTTCTTTGAATTTAGAGCACAGATACTGAAGCTCACTCTCAAATTAACTGACATGCCACAGACACACACTCTACATTTTAATTGTGCCTCCGCCAGTACTTTCTTGCCCTTTTTAAGCAAGTGTTCATATACCATGCATTTCCAATCATTTTATGTTTATTTTCTATCCTTAAATTATGTTCGGGATATTTTTGCTATACCGCGATTTACAGATTTTTTGTAGTTAATACGAAAAAGCAAAATCCTGTTCAAAGTTTCACCTTGCATATTTTTTCTTCTGCTATTACCAACATGATTTCCTTCAACATAAATTAAATACATGCATTTATCACGTACACGTTTAGAGAAATAACCATTTTCTTCGGCCTTTTTTACTTTAACAATTCCTGAAATAAATTAGACAACATTATTCAGTTTCATAAAATAGAACTTTTAATCAAAGCGAAAGGAGCACCATTACTGACAATTAAGTCCTGTCGATATATCAATTAACCACATCAGATATTCAAGGCAACAAAACTTGAAACGATAAATTTTAATTCAATTAGTAAATCTTGTACTGCCCCAATGGATAATTTGGATTCTCAGAAAATATGAAATTTCAGATTCTGGAAGAGTTCATAATTTTGACTATTATAGTTTAAAAATAAGACTTGGTCTTTAATATAAAAAAAAAATCAGAGTTTTACCCAGGGCCTGTTATTTGATTCTGCTTTGAATGGTCAAAAAGTTGGCAATAGAGATTTTGGAAAACTGATGAATAGTTTATTGTCTTCCGAAAAGCACAATTTACCTGTAACTGTGACAACATCTCCAGGAGATGCAGTATCTGCTAAATCTCTTGAAAGTTCTATTTCAACATTCCTTGGCATCCGACCAGATTCACGATGAGTATCAGACAAAGTTTCCTGTGAAACATTAAAAAAATTAATTGAATTAATTACTAATGGGTCAGAGACATGGTCAAAATGAAATAATTTACTAATTTAAATACATTTCAAAAATATAATTTTTCAACAAGAAATATAGAATATAATATATACTGAATAGTAGTATACAATATAGTGGTATATACATGATATATAGAATATATTCGAGAATTGACTGATGTTAACTAAGAACACATAAGGATCTTTAAATAGTTTGTATTTTTATTAATAGTTTGGACTTTAGATAAACCATACTTTTTGCAGTTTTCAGAAATTAATTGAAGGCCTCTTTTGGTCAAATTGTGAGCTTACAATTGCTAAAAAGGATAATTTTTCAAATGAATCTACTGAACTCCAAATTATTCCAAAAGTCAAACATTTGAAATGTTGAATATAGAATATATTAAACACTTTTACACCGAACTTGGTTTCCGAAAATATTTGATTCGTTTTAGACATCATTATCTTTCAGAATAGCTAAGATTGCAATAACAGGGTTGGATCATTATGCATAAACAAATTGCCTGTTTCCATGTCAAGCTTGAATTAATATATCAAGAAAATGAATCCTTACTTGTAGTTTAACATTTTGCCAATCTGTAATTTCTGTGAGAGGATGATCACGTTCTGCTGAGAATGTTTTACCGCTGCATCTTGGGTCATCACAAGCACTTGGGGTGACATAGTTGTTTTCTATAAGCAAGATTGCCTGCATTCGACCACACATGTTGCATTTGAACGCCATTGTTGTACAAAGAGGTTTGACATTGCTCACCTAAATATTTTAATAAAAAGTAAAATGTTGTCTCTGGATTCTTCAAATAACTAAACTTGAAAATGATAATAAAAATAATTATTTTTATTTACATAAGTAGTTTTTTCAATGATTTGAATGGTGAAAATTTAGCTTTCTAAATACTAATTTTGATATTTTCACATCAAAATATTGACCGGTAGATCATTTTAAATCACTCATAATCTAAATTATTTCAGATATGAACAGTCCGATCTCAAATTCAAAAACTTTTTGAGGCAAGAAAACATGTACTGTTGTCAAACACTTAAAATATTGAAATATGTCATACTTTGTAGGTTTTCCCAATATATTTTGAAATCATGTATTATGAAGTTCAAGCACATAAAAAAGACAACAAACCTTCACAATTGTTCCTCGGATTGAAACAAATTTGCCATAACTTCTTGCTTTGAGATGTTTTAGTGAAGTAGATGGCTCATAGTTACTTATCCTTGCTCTAAAAAAAATACCATCGTACTATACTTTGTTCTTCGACCAGACTTTCTCAGACAAGCGGTTTATTACAATGAATGAATAGATGCATAGTTGTAAACCACATGTCTGAGGAAGTCTGACTCGAGTCAGATGAAAGCTGCAGGATAGAATTTGTGTAAGAGTGATGTTCAATGCAGGTGCGTTCAATAACTTTATATGGCCATTTTGTTTCTTGCTACAGTATCTATGCAGTCGTTGTTTAAGGAACTGGTAACACAAACGCCCCAGAGAAAAAACTACATGATGTCAGAATTGAACCCAAAATCTGAGCTATCTTGATCAATTTTTTAGCTCAACTCTGGAATTTGGAGCCTGAGGTATGATTTTTCGATTCCTATTAGACTCTTATCAGACATAAAATCCATACCTTGATTTCTATAGCGATGCCCATTTAATATCATTTGAATAGTATTGAAATGACCGTGTGGTGTGATACAACAATCTAAAAACTACATTTTTTTCTGAAAATACTACCTGATTACAGGAATATCATCAACAGAAGTAGGTTTATTATCCTCTCCATCTTGTTCTATTCCAAGTTTTTGACATGTTTGTACAGCGGTTTGATGAGCCGCTAATCCTGATGAAACAAGAATATTTATTAACTATAAATCAGATTTTTATCACCGTAATTACTTTATTACAAGTTATTTGTCAAGATTTGTCAAACAGACAAAAGGGCAACAATGAATAGCACCGAAAAAAGATAAAATATCGAAAACAAATTGTCATCAGATCACTAATGCTTTAGCAAAATTCTTGATAAAGATAAATGACTATTATATAGTAATTCAATTTTGAAAGTTACTTGAAAGTCAATTGATTGAGAATCTTAACAAAGAGTGTCATTATGAATATATTTTGATATTATTATTACCAAACCATTCATTTTGGAATAAATTTGGTATAACCACAAATCCATCTAGCGGCCCGATCAACTATGGCCTTACCGAGACAATTCAGCAAGTGATCAGGATTATTGAATAGTTTATCAGCAAACTCAGGTAATGATGTTTTGATGACATTGTGTGATGTTATCTCCTTAAAATCGATTGTGATACTTTCGCTGTTCAATATTGTTTCTTGATCACATTTATCAAAATAATCTTTCATGTATAACTCCAGAACCTGTCAATTTAATTAAAATTAAATAAATATTATGGACAATTGATAAATTTGAATTTTTTTCATGTGAACAAATGAATATCCAAAATGGAGACACAACCAATAACGTTCAAAAGATAGGAGAGATGGTTCCACTGAACTTAAAATTGTGAAAATAAAAAAGCTGCTGGGGATTTATTTTTTCTCTTAATTCACTCTTTAACAATTAACACTTCATTTGTGAATACTATCACTAATACTCTTCACTTTTTTAGTACTTATGCTCAAATTATAAACAATTGAAACTTTACAAAAGCCATAGTAAGAGTTCAGATTATCACTAACTGATAATACATTGAGGATTAATACATTGAAATCTTTGTGGGGGGAATGAAAAGAGCCAAATAGATTCAAATAGATAAGATGAAGTCTACTAATAGTGCAAAGATATGCTCTTTAATGAATATCTTGAAATTATACCTTCACTATAGAAGCTGTGGCAGATCCTAGGCTGTATTCTTCTACTGGAAAATAGTTTTTCCAGGCTCGATACGGACAAAAACTTCCTCGGACCAAGTCTGGACGAACATTCACTCTTGGCTGAGTCAGCTCAACTATTTGAGGCTCTCGAGGGCCACGGAAGCTGAAAATAACAGAAATCAGCGAAATATATGCATAGAGAACAAATTGGACAAAGAATAGACAGTAGTTTAATATTTATAGGTTTACATACTAGAGATCCTGAAATCTCTGATAACAAGGCAATTCCATGTTAAAAAGAAACCTAATGTAAACAAATAAATGAAGTTGCATTGACTTTCTTCACTTCGATACTGAAGAAACATGTTGATTGTGATATTGTTATGACTAGAGTGTAGGATATAACTATATTAGTGTCACTCGTTAAATATCCCATACTTGACCCCATGCCCCAACCCATTTCCCAGTTATATACTAAATTTAGTAGGCAATACTAAAATATTTTCAATCGTTGCAAACGAGTAGGTATCTTGCCCAGAGCCATGCTTAGAGTGAAACCTCATAATGAACAAAATTTAATGATATTTATTCATCACCATGCTGCCATGTGTAAATATAACATTGCCAAATTTCCAAAAATATCGCTAATCACGGGTGGTGGGACTCACAGAAAACCTCAGAATCCTGAGCGGTTATCTCTGTATCTAACGTTAGCTGCGAAACTGTGATACATGATGTATTGCTGCTATTAAAAGACTGAAGCAGTGAAGGGTGAAAATTAGGCTATGTGGAGAATAGAAAAAAATGCATATTTTGCTTATTATTATAATACAAAAAATTGAATTAATATGATTCCTATGGAATATCATGAACACTGGTACTGCGAAATGAACAATGTAGCAGACATTGAACACAAGCAGACAACTTTCAGACTTTCCCTACTGCTTCATGCATTCAAAAAAAAATGTAAAGTTTGAAAGCAACTAAATGTACAGGTATATCTGTATACTGGTACCGGTACGGTACCGTATATGAAAAAACGGATCAGCTTGGCCAGATATCAGGATATTATTAAAAACTCTCATGTCCCTTTTCTTTTGTTGTTATGTCTTACCGAAAAAAGCTGTTTTCGCTTTTCTTTTTCTTCCTATTCTGCTTTTGGGGCGGAGTCGTCATTTTTCAATTTCTAATTCCTCGGTATTTCTGTAGATCAGATCACACGCAAAATAACCGGTCACAACAACATAATTACACCTCTGTGAAGCTAGCAGCAAAACACGAAATTGTGACTGACAGAATCGCAGAAAATACCCACGCGTAAAATTAAATGTTCCCAATGATTTTTAAAAGAAAGTGTATATTTTGATTAGTTTCACAATAGCAATTAAGGCAAAACAATCATTAACTACACTCCTCGTATTGTTAATATATAGTAAACAAGCTAAAGCGACTGTTACAGTGCACAAAATTTTTTTATAATTTTTTGAGAGATATTTAAAAATGACTGAATTTTCGTCGTGTAACATGGTCGTTTCATGAAAACCTCCAATAAAGGCAGCATTGCAACACCATTGGTGAAAAGTAGAAACCTCAAAGATTCGATTTCATTATGTCAGAACAGTCTCAGCACGTTTTGACTTGATCATATATAATACTAAACATAGCGTATATTCTTCAATTTTTAAAACAATGTATATACAACAAATTTGAAACTGATTTTGTATTTCAACTAAATTTACTGGATAGTTCATCAAAGAAGATATTTTTCTCTTTGTCACACAACAATAATGCACTTCATTAAACTTAGAATAAGTTGAGGAAAGTCTAAAATACCGAGAAAAAATTTACGCCCTCTTGTGGATTCTTTGATAAATTTCACAAAATTATCGTTTTTGAAAGGGCGATTTCTCAAAAACCGCCAATAAAGGCAGCACTACGACACATTCGAAGAAAAGCAGATACTCTATAGATTCGATTTTAATATGTCAGAACAGTAGCAGCACGTTTTAACTTGGCAATACATGATACCAAACATAGCATTAAACTTGGAATAAGTGGCAAATCTAAAAATAACAAAAAATGATTTTACGCCCTCTTGCGGATTTTTTTCGGAATTTCAAAAAAATATCGTTTTTGTAAGAGCGATTTCTCAAAAACCGCCAATAAAGGCAGCACTACGGCACATTCGGAGAAAAGCAGATACCTTATAGATTTGATTTCATTATGTCAGAACAGTAGCAGCATGTTTTGACTTGGCCATATATAATACCAAATATAGCGTGTATTCAAAAAGTTATAAACAATGTAGACGTAACATATTCAAAAAACGTTTGGTATTTCAACTAAATTTACTAGATAAATTATCAAACATCTTCTTTTCTTGGACATACATATATACTGTACGTTCGAATAATTTGCGGAAAGTATAAAATACCAAAAAGCATTTTACGTCCTTTTGTGGATTATTTTCAAAATTTCAAAAAATTATCGTTATTGAAATAGCGATTTCTCGAAACCGCCAATAAAGGCAGCATTACGACACATTTGGAGAAAAGCAGATACCTTATAGATTCGATTTGAATATGTCAGAACAGTAGCAGCACGTTTTGACTTGGCCATATATAATTCCAAACATAGCGTATATTTTCAATTTTATTAACTATGTAGATGTGACATATTTAAAAACAGTTTGGTATTTCAACTAAATTTCCTTGATAATTTACCAAACATCTTTTTCTCTTGGACATACATATATACTGTACGTCCATTGAACTTGGAATGAGTTGCGGAAAGTATAAATAACGGAAAATATGTTCGCCTTCTTGTTGATTATTTTCAAATTTTCGAAAAATTATCGTTTTTGAAATAGCGATTTCTCAAAAACCGCCAATAAAGGCAGCACTACGACACATTCGGAGAAAAGCAGATACCTTATAGATTCGATTTTATTATGTCAGAACAGTAGCAGTACGTTTTGACTTGGCCATATATAATACCAAACATAGCGTATAATTTTCAATTTTATTAACTATGTAGATGTAACATATTTAAAAACGGTTAGGTATTTCAACTTAATTTACTGGATAATTCATCAAACACTTTTCTCTCTTGGTCATACATCAAAACTGTATGTTCATTAAACTTGGAATAAGACGGCGAATCCTAAAATAACAAAAAATTATTTGACGCCCTCTTGTGGATTTTTTTCGAAGTTTTTGAAAAAATATCGTTTTTGAAAGGACGATTTCTCAAAAACCGCCAATAAAGGCAGCACTACGACACATTCGGAGTAAAGCAGATACCTTATAGATTTGATTTCATTATGTCAGAACAGTAGCAGCACGTTTTGACTTGGCCATATATAATACCAAACATAGCGTGTATTCAAACTTTTATAAACAATGCAGACGTAACATATTTAAAAACGGTTTGGTATTTCAACTAAATTTCCTAGATAATTTATCAAACATCTTTTTCTCTTGGACATACATATATACTGTACGTCCATTGAACTTGGAATGAGTTGCGGAAAGTATGAAATAACGGAAAATCATGTTTCGCCTTCTTGTTGATTATTTTCAAATTTTCGAAAAATTATCGTTTTTGAAATAGCGATTTCTCAAAAACCGCCAATAAAGGCAGCACTACGACACATTCGGAGAAAAGCAGATACCTTATAGATTCGATTTTATTATGTCAGAACAGTAGCAGCACGTTTTGACTTGGCCATATATAATACCAAACATAGCGTATAATTTCAATTTTATCAACTATGTAGATGTAACATATTTAAAAACGGTTAGGTATTTCAACTTAATTTACTGGATAATTCATCAAACACTTTTCTCTCTTGGTGATACATCAAAACTGTATGTTCATTAAACTTGGAATAAGACGGGCGAATCCTAAAATAACAAAAAATGATTTGACGCCTCTTGTGGATTTTTTTCGAAGTTTTTAAAAAAATATCGTTTTTGAAAGGGCGATTTTTCAAAAACCGCCAATAAAGCAGCACTACGGACATATTCGGAGTAAAGCAGATACCTTATAGATTTGATTTCATTATGTCAGAACGTAGCAGCACGTTTTGACTTGGCCATATATGATAGCAAACATAGCGTGTATTCAAACTTTTTATAAACAATGCAGACGTAACATATTTAAAAACGGTTTGGTATTTCAACTAAATTTCCTAGATAATTTATCAAACATCTTTTTCTCTTGACATACATATACTGTACGTCCATTGAACTTGGAATGAGTTGCGGGAAAGTATGAAATAACGGAAAATCATTGTTTCGCCTTCTTGTTGATTATTTTCAAATTTTCGAAAAATTATCGTTCTGAAATAGCGATTTCTCAAAAACGCCAATAAAGGCAGCACTACGACACATTCGGAGTAAAGCAGATACCTTATAGATTTGATTTCATTATGTCAGAACTGTAGCAGCACGTTTTGACTTGGCCATATATAATACCAAACATAGCGTATAATTTTCAATTTTATCAACTACGTAGATGTAACATATTTAAAAACGGTTAGGTATTTCAACTTAATTTACTGGATAATTCATCAAACACTTTCCTCTCTTGGTCATACATCAAAACTGTATGTTCATTAAACTTGGAATAAGACGGCGAATCGTAAAATAACAAAAAATGATTTGACGCCCTCTTGTGGATTTTTTTCGAAGTTTTTAAAAAAATATCGTTTTTGAAAGGGCGATTTTTCAAAAACCGCCAATAAAGGCAGCACTACGACACATTCGGAGTAAAGCAGATACCTTATAGATTTGATTTCATTATGTCAGAACTGTAGCAGCACGTTTTGACTTGGCCATATATAATACCAAACATAGCGTGTATTCAAACTTTTATAAACAATGCAGACGTAACATATTTAAAAACGGTTTGGTATTTCAAATAAATTTCCTAGATAATTTATCAAACATCTTTTTCTCTTGGACATACATATATACTATACGTTCATTAAACTTGGAATAAGTTGCGGAAAGTATAAAATACCAAAAAGCATTTTACGTCCTCTTGTGGATTATTTTCAAAATTTCGAAAAATTATCGTAATTGAAATAGCGATTTCTCGAAAACCGCCAATAAAGGCAGCACTACGACACATTTGGAGAGTAGCAGATACCTTATAGATTTGATTTTAATAAGTCTGAACAGTAGCAGCACGTTTTTAGTTGGCCATATATAATACCAAACATAGCGTATAATTTTTAATTTTATCAACTATGTAGATGTAACATATTTAAGAACGGTTAGGTATTTCAACTAAATTTACTAGTAATTCATCAAACACTTTTTTCTCTTGGTCATACATCAATACTGTACGTTAATTAAACTTGGAATAAGTTGTGAATTGTAAAAAACCACATAAAATGTCTTACGCCCTATTATATTTTTTTTTCAATTTCCTAAACATACCGTTTTTGGAGTGACGAATTCTTGAAAACCGCCAATAAAGGCAGCATTACGACACATTCTGAGAAAAGCATATACCTTATAGATTTAATTATATTATGTCAGAACAGTAGCAGCTCGTTTTGATTTGGCCATATATAATACCAAACATAGTGTATAATTTTCAATTTTATAAACAATGCAGACGTAACATATTTAAAAACGGTTTGGTATTTCAACTAAATTTACTCGATAAATAATCGAATATATTTTTCTCCTGGTCCTAAATCAATATTGTACTTTAATTTAACTTGGAATAAGTTGCGGAAAGTATAAAACAACAAAAAATTATTTTACGCATCCTTGTGGATTCTTTTCATAATTTAAAAAAATATCGTTTTTGAAAGGGCGATTTCTCGAAAACCGCCAATAAAGGCAGCACTACGACACATTCGGAAAAAACAAATACATTTTGAATTTCATTTCACCGTACTAGAACAGTAGCTGCACGATTGACTCCGCCATACGTAATACCAATCATATCGTAAATTTCCCTTCTTTTTTACATTTATTTTTACATTCGCTGATACACCATGTCCTCTTAGATAGACATTCAAGCATGATTGTGAACATTGCCTTCTTTCGCAATTTCGCAAGTTATTTGTAAGTTTCCCACCGTGTTTCAAAAAAATAGGTTTGGATGAAGTGTTTTAATCGTTATCATGTCTTCCGATGAGCTTAAGTTTGATTGCAATAAAAAAAGTGCGTTCTGGAAAGACAGCGATTGACTAAGGATAGGCTAAAATGATCCATCATTACTTGTA